GAATTTCCAAGGTAAAAGTGGGGTATGGAATACTCATCCTTTAACTGAAATGCCTACTTACCTTAGGTGGGAAATAAATCTTTTCTGAGGTACTGCAGTAAGGAAACTGTCTCCAGACCTACTGAAATCATTCACTACTATGAGAACTACTATGAGAGGTCACCCAAGCACAGCCCAGATGAACAAGTCCTAGGGCACAAGTATTTTTTTACATTTCATTTTATATTTTTTTCAGCCTACACCTTCCTTCAACAGCTGCTTTCAAGACTCTCTTCAAATTGAGCCCTATGCTTTGTCTCTCAACCCTAAACCTACATGCTGGTGGAGACCCAGCCTGAAATACCCCAGCTATGGCCCAGACTTATATATCCTTATGTGAGAATTCTGTTTGCATGCCTCTTTCCCATGACAGATCTTTTCCTGCCTTGCTCCCTGCTTTCTCTCTTTCCAAATGCAAAATCTCCCACTCTAAACTTGTGCTACAGCTGAAACTTAGCACAATACCTCCAGGCTTTTCCCAGAGGAGCATGGTCTCAGGCATAAATTTTATCTGCACACCACTTCTTCCCTTTGCAGTCTCTTTTGAAATCCATTCCAACTAGAGCTTTGTACCTCTAACCTTAACCTAGATCTTAATCTACGTGTTGAATGAGACTTAGCCCCAAATATCCTAGCTATAGCCCAGATAAGTACATTCTCACGTCAACCAAGGCTCAGCATAAGATCCCAGCCATGGCTTAGGTCAAAAGAGAATAACATTTCTGATATCCTCCTCTTCATCTCTACAGATCATTTCCAGACAATTATTGCTGGGAGTCTTGGCATCTCTTCTAACTCTTACCCCAAACCTAGGTATCAGCTGAGCCCAACAACCACAGACAGAGACTATGCCTTCAGCAAACAATTCTTTTGATCCCTGCTGTCCTTTGCCCTTTCCAATCCCACTACAAACAGAGCTTTAAATGTTCTCCCTTCTCCCAGCTCTAAAGATGACAAGGTCCCTAACAATAAGAACTGAGACTTAGCCCAAGGTCCCTTACAATCACCCATGTGAGAAACTTTTCAAAGAGCAACACTTTTTGCAGCCCCTTTCCTGGACCACTCCAGAGATCAAGATTTCATCTGTTCTCTGTCTCTAAGCTTAACTATATCCTGAGCTCTAACACCCAACATCAACTGAGATGGCCAAATACTCCAAGTTATAGTCAACATGATCAAGAACTCAGAACAAAATTCCTATGGCAACTCTTTTTCAGCTCTTAAAACTCTTAGTTTTTGACCCCTTAAAACTCTTTGTATGACTGTAAAGGATGTATTGAGCATTTGTTTCAAAATCCAAGCTAGCATCCAGATGAAAAAGATCTCAGAATTATTTTCAATGTGTCCCTTACACTGAAATACCAGCACTAACCCTAACACTAGTAATCAGCTGAGCCTTCCCCAGCATGCCCAACCACAGTCCAGATGTAAAAGGCCTCAGGAAATAATACTTCCTGTGGACTACCCCTTTTTGCCCACCCTTCATAGCCCCATCTAGATGTAATGACCCTACATTCCTAACCCAAACCTTAACCCTAATGTTCAGCCTGGGCTGAGCCTTAGCCCAAGGCACCCAGCTCTGACCCACATGAGTGATTTCCCTGGGTAGAACTCTGTATGCAGACTGTCCAACCCTTTTATGGCTATTTATTAACATTGCCAAGGATAACGATTGTTGGATTGGAAAACTTTTCCTTACTTCAGGATAAAGGAATCCTTGGGATTTTCCATGTATTGAGCACAGTAGAGCGTGCAGTAGTTTTTCTACACACCACATCAAAGAGCAGGTACTGAGATTTAAATATTTTTTTGCACATCTTATGTGAACTCCTCCATAAAACTTTTCTGCTAGTTTAAATTTTGTAATAACCATTTTCCTTTTATGCTTAGAGCCATGGAAATGCTTTATGTAGGCGATGTCTAATAACAGTTGCGGTAAAACAAGGAACATTTACAGGCAGAAGAGAGATTACAAAAAAAAAAAAAAAAAAAAAAAAAAAAAAAAAAAAAAAAAATTTTTTTTCATTATATTCTCTCTTGTAATGTGTTGCTCAATGTTCTGCTCTTATTCTCTGAAGAATGATGTGAGAAATGTTTTCTATTCAGCACTGCTGGGAATGATCCTTGGGTTAGGTTCAGTCAAATCCATTAAGAAATTTTTAAGATTAATATTAATCTGCTATTAGTATAGAAATTAGTATGAAATAGAACTTGTCCTTTAGTTTCATTTCTTTGATTTTCATAGTCAGAGCAGTATGTGTATTTTCTGCCACTTAAAAGCCACCAAAATTTCCTTCAAAATATTTCAGTCTGCTACAAATTTCATGTCTACCAGCTAATGTATCACATTAGTTCAGAATAAAAAGATTGTTAGCTTTAGATTATTTTGTTTTATCATCCCAAGCAAACTGAAATAGGTTATATGTTCATAGGGAGTCTGCTGCCTGTTCTACGCCAACATGACTGCACTGCTATTCACTGTGCTGCCACTCGGTGGTGCCACGGGGCCGCATTTAAAAAATTTAGTCGGTCTTTATCACCTGAACTTTGAAAGCTCTTGCAGTGTTTTCCTGCCTATGTAAAGTGAAAATGTACAAAATCTACGTCCTACGATTCGTGCCTTTAAAAACATTTTAACCTGAGTGATGGTCTGATTTTAGGGTGGTCTTGTGTGGAGCCAGAAGCCATTAATGCTCCTTATAGGTCTCTTCCACCTTCAGACAAATTCTATGATTCGATATGATTGTTATTCTGCCAACTCTAGCTATGTAGGGCAACATCAGAAACAAACTACTTACAGAATATGAATTTATTTGGCAAATAAGGGTGGCTGAGTTGTGCAACACTCTGTACTATAATAGCTTTCCAAAACAAGTGCATAGTCTATGCTGAAGCATAAAAGCATGGAAAGAAGCACAAAAGCAGAGAAAACAAAGTATAATGGCTTTTAACTAATATTCTAGAAGAATATAAATGTCTATTAGTAAAACAGTTGCTACCACCCCTTTCAGCAATACTTTTCATTCCAAATTGGACTCTATTAGAAAACTAGCACTTGATTGCCAGTTTAAAGGTGACATTGTAAAAAAAACCCTGAACATCAGAGCACTTTAAGAGTACTTTGCTAAAAACTAAGGGATTTAAAATTATATAAATACTTGTGTATGAAAAATATACTGACTTCACAAATAGAATTATCAGCATACAAAACCAGTGTGATCTATCATTCTGCTGTTTAAGCAAATTTTATTACATTTTGTATTTCAAGTATCCCATTAGATTTTCATTCCAGTATGGATAATTTTCTATCAGACTTCAAGAGACCAGTACTCTTTGTAAGCAAAGTAGCAAACAGAAAAGATAGAGCAGACCATTATTTTCCAGCAATGCCCACTGCAGAAGGCCAAGCTGTAGTTCTCATGAAGCCAACCATGCCAGCTCCTGGGTTCACATCCATAATCCTACAGTATAGATCAGCATAGAGAATGGTTTGGGTTGGAAGAGACCTTTAAGATCATCTAGTTCCAACTCCCTTCTATAGGCAGGGACACCTCCCAGTAGAACAAGTTGTTCACAGCCCCATCCAGCCTGACCTTGAATGCTTCCAGGGAGGGGGCATCCACAGACTCACTGGGCAACCTGTTCCAGTGTCTCACCACACTCACAGTAAAGAATTTCTTCCTAATATCTAGTCTAAATCTGCCCTCTTGGCTTAAAATCATTTCCCCTCGTCCTGTTGCTACGTGCCCTTCTAGAAAGTCCCTCCCCAGCTTTCCTGTAGGACCCTTCAGGTACTGGAAGGCTGCAATAAGGGCTCCTCAGAGCCTTCTCTTCTCCAGGCTGAATAGCCCCAGCTTTCCCAGCCTGTCCTCATGGGGGAGGTGCTCTGTCCCCTGCAGGAACCTTGGATACTGTGAGGCCAGATTTCTGAAAAATAGACACACAATGGGGTCACATTTTTTAGAGTCCACCTTTAATGTGCTTGGGGAAACGAATCTGCAGAGTTCCTTCCAACACAAAAACCTCCCATTGCCATTCATTCAGCTGTACTTACATAAAGCTCAACATTTAATTCCATCTATTTAGCCAGTTGTGGGCATTGAGCTCTTAGGAATCATAGCTCTTGGAAAACATCTATGTTGTCATATTACTTTGCTGGAATATTTCAAAATAACGTCTATTTTTTTGGTGACATCTTTGAAAATGTTTACTGCACCAGAGAAGGCCTACTGGAAGGCTGTAGTGCAAGCTTGATATGAAGTAGTATCCATCTGCCTGTCCCATAGAATCACAGGATCACAGAATTGTAAGGGCTGGAAGGGACCTCTAAAGATCATCCAGTCCAACCCCCCTGCAAAGCAGACTCCCTAGACCAGGTTGCACAGGTAGGTGTCCAGGTGGGTCATGAATGTCTCCAGAGAAGGAGAATGCACATCCTCTCTGGGCAGCTGATCTCCATGGCGCTGAGGTTGCACTCAGCTGCTTTGGTGCTCTCCATTCGCCACTGGGACCTGTCCTTACGTGCTGATGTGCACACAGCGTGTGGGATACGCTGATTCTGAGCCAGAGGTGTTCCCTTGGGGCTGGTGACTCAGCCTCGGGAGTTGTAGAACCTGGGGCATTCTCTGGCCTGACGGGCCCAAGAAGGTTATCCTGCTCGGAGCCGTAAGAACAAAACCTTGTAAGTAAGGCCGAAACAGGGAGTGGCGAGGGCGGACGCAAACCAGCGTTCCGCGTACCGCGACACCCGAGATATGTTGCAGGCGAAGCGAATTAAAGGCGGCTCACGAACAGGGAAGCAGCCCCGCCGCTCGCTGGGCAGGAAGGTCACGGCTCCCTCCCGCCGGCTGCCACGTCGAGATCGCCCGCCGCCCCGCAACAGAGCAGGGCGGGGCAGGGCGGAGAGAGGAGGAGCAGCAGGAGGAGGGCGGCTGCTGAGGGGCGGGGATGGCGGCGTCGCGCTGCGGCAGGCGGCCGGCGGGGCGGTGACGTTGGCGCAGGCCAGAGGGCGGGGAGGAGGAAGAGGAGGAGACCGGGCGCCTTCGGAGCGGAGGCGGCCGCGTCCCGCGTAGGCTCCGGGCGGCTCTCGGGGCCGCGATGCGCTCGGCCTGAGCTCTCCCTCCGCAGCTCTCCCGCTTCGGACCTCCGCGGGGCGAGGGGCCGCGATGGCCGCGGGCGGCTGGCAGGAGGCGGCGGCCCGGCAGGCCGAGCAGACGGCGGCCCGGGTGCGGGACGTGCTGTCGGGCGGCCTGGGCCTGCTGCGCGCCGAGCTGGGCCTGGAGCTGGGCCTCGACCCCCAGGGCCTGCCCACCTGGCTCGCCCTGGCGCTCCCGGCCGCGCTGGGGCTGGCGCTGCTGGGGCTGCTCCTGGCCGCGGCCTGCGGAGGAGGGCTCCGCAAGAAGGCGGCGCGGAGCGCGGCCGAGAGGAAGGGCGACGAGGCGGCGGCCCTGACGGCCGGCGGGGGCCCGGGCAGGGCGGCGGGGCCGGGGCTGCTGAAGGGCGACGAGCAGAAGAAGAGGAGCAGGAAGAAGCTGCAGGAGAAAGCGGCGAGGGTGAGGGGCCGCGGGCTCTGGGAACCGCTTCGCGCTGCTGCTCTCCTGGCCGCGGGGCTGGGGGCCGTCAGCCCGGCTGGCGTCGCCTGCGTGCGGGGTTCGTGGCGCGGCGCTGCTTCGACAGCCCGCAGCGAGCCGCGAGAACGCCGTGTTGGTACCGAGCGGGGAATGCAGCGCTGCTTTCTCCAGGCGTTCTGATGGCTCTACAATATTACGCGAAAGCAGTATCTATATTTCTCTCTCTTTTCTCATCGTCATTAATCTAAAGGCTTGCCGGGTTGGGAACTGGCAGCGGAGACCTCGTTCTGGTGTAATTTCAAGGCAGGAGGGGCAGCCCAGGCAGGTACAGGCGGCGGCATTACAAGCCTCGTAAATGCTGCAGTGATTCAAACTTGAAGGCGTTTTGTGGCGTCTTCTCAACAGAACGCCTTAACGTCGGTCTGGCGGTGAGCTTCCCTCGGAGGGAATATGTCTGACTTAGTTGTTACAGTAAGGATCATCTCCTTTAATAAGGAAATCTCTCTGAGCAGCCCCTTAAAAACAGATCGTTCCTGTCTTTTTTTAATTCTCGCTGTGTGCTCTCGCTAGTGCCTTGCGTCTCTGAAAGTGTTTTCGTGACAAAATTAATAGATTACAGAAATTATCAGCTGTCCTTTTCAGGCTCCTGATAATCGTAGGTTAGTGACTTGAAGGAATTGCTTCAATAGCTTTTATTTTGTTGGTATGTTTGTAATCCTATTTATGTCCAAATGGATTATAGGAATGAAAGTGCAGCAGATGTCCCCTGCCTGTTACAACCGTGTCTCATATTTTGCACTGTAAAATCTGAATGATTTGCCTATCTCCAGAAAAAAGGAGGTACAAGAGGAATTTGTACCCCTGATTGATTCTGTGGCAATATTGAGGCTTGAGAAGGTTTTGGTTGTTTTCTTCTTCTTTTTTTTTTTTTTTTTTCTTTTTAAGATATTTTAGCTTTGGCTTCTTGTGAACAGTGCAAAAGTCTCTGCATCATCAAGATGTCTTTGAGCAATGAACTACTGAAACTTGCTGGAGCTGTTTGTGCAAGTTGCAGGAGGTTAAATGCAGAGCACTGAGAAGAAGAAGGACTGTGATTCAGAGTTTTTTCAAATGTTACTAGGTCTCCATTTTGGAGAAGACATATTAAAGAGGCAGCACTTTTCACCCTCCTGAAAGGTGAAGGGATTTAACAGATCTGTTTTACTTTTTTGAAAATAGTGGCTGCTCTCAGAAATAATCCATGTTTTGCTTATTCTGTTTTTATACTGGAATTAAAATGCAATCTCTCCCAAGTCATGATTGGGGAGGCTGAGAAATTTTTCAACAGTAGACAGTGAAGAAATACACCATTAACTTCACAGTGCTCTGCTGTACAGGGCTTCATGAAAGCAAGCTTTGTATGTAAACTTAACTGACATTTTCAGTGAATATAAATACTTGTATTGTTTCAGGCTTGGTTTTCTCAGGCAAAATAGTAAAAATTGAGGCTGTGTAAGAGCAAACAGCTTTACAGTCAAAAAAGTATAAAAATGTTTTTTAGCTGTGAAGCTGTCATTCTATATTCTCAAGATCTTAAAAGTTATTTTCATAGTACTCTGTAACCATTATTTCCATGCAAAAATGGGAAGGGGGAACAACAACTTTCTCAACAAAAGAAAATGCATAAACTAAATCATTAATTACAGTGCAAATAAGTTTCTAATAGCAGTGAAGTTAAATAGGCCTGCCTTGTGCTCATTACCCAACGTAAGTTCATAGGGACTGACTGGTGTTTGCATGTCCCAGTGTTTTCTGACTTAGTTTCACAATGGAGAATTTACAGGAGAACATCGTGAATTTAAAAGTGGAACAAAAATTCCTACCAAAGGCTGCATGTTGGTTTTCATGCTGTATTTTTCTACACCCTAGTGCTGGTGATGAGCTCTGTGGAGGAAAAAGAGTAAGCCTATTATCAGTAGATTTACCAGAGGGCTTGCTATACCAGAGTCTAGATTTCCATTACAGGTATTACAGAAAGCTTAGAGCAACTGGTCTGCAGCATTAAAAAGCGCACTCCAGATGTCTAATTAAAAGCTGTAGGGTTACTTTAATGTAGAGTTACTGAGCTCATTGTATGACAGTGATGTGTAACTCTTGTCAGTCAGGCTCAGAAACATTCTTTGCTGTACCCTTTCCAAGGAGGAATATCACTGCCTTGTTCCACGAGTTTAGCTCTATTCAGCTCCTTTACGGGTACTGTACAATCTAATTGATATTGTTAGTAAAATCAATTTAGCTCAGTAGTGCTGAGTTCACTGGTTGCAGCAGCAGCGATGGGGTTCTGTTTGTTTACTTGCCGTGGATAGACTGAGATAAAATGAAGCTGGAATGGTTTAGCGTTCATTAACATTTTTTAAACCTTCAGCAGAAAAAGGTGGAATCTGTTCTTAGGTGGTATCTTCACAATCTGAAAAACGCCATAGAAACTTAAGAATAATCCTTTTCTGTATTCTGCTATAGCTTGTAAAAAATAAAAATAAAAAAAAGTCTTTACGTGTGCAGAAAAATACCAAACTAGCAATTTATTTCCTATAGGTTGGAGTCTACCTGTACAGTAAAGGCCACATGCTAATGCTTTCTTTCAGTACAGGCATTGGCGTTCATCTGCGAAAGCTTTCTATTTGGCCTCCTTGAAAGAAGTTCTCAGACTACGCTTTTTGCTCCTAGAAATATGCCACATAAAGACTTTTTCATACTTTCAACTGATACTCGCACGTTGTGCCTGTCAGATTGCAGGAGGAGTGAGGCTGTAGGATTGTCTGTTGCTTCAAGGGTAAATTGCTCCGTTTCTTTCTTAAGAAAAGCTTATGGAAAATAATGGTAAATGGATTCTTTCATTGGCCGAAAATAGTGTAGGTAGGCATAGCTCTATAATGTGTAACTAAGGATTAATAAGGCCCTGTAAAGCTCAAATGATAGTAATTTCATTTTGTTTTCTTAAGTGTGAAATTGAGGTATCCATAGCGCTGTACTGAATTGAAAGAACGTTTTTTTTTATTTTAGCACTCAATCTCAGCAATACCCGTATTCTACTTCTGAATTATCTTAACACCCTCTATAGAGAATATGGGATGAAAAAGGTTTTTTTTTTTTAAACAGTGGAGTTTTAAGTTCAGCAGGCAAGTTCAGAAGTTTGTTTGGTAATGAATATTTTAGACAGCATCATTTCTGCTCTGACATTATTTCACATCTTCCTGTAGCTGTTTGGATCAGATAAAAAAAGATGGTATATAATAAATTAGAGCATTTAGAAGAGTTAATATCTTTGATGGAAGTTGGGTATATATTACTTTGAAGTCTTAAGCTTTGCCTTTTAGGCTGTTGTTGCCTTTTAAAAGAAATGCCCTTGAATACTATGGAAAAGCTTCTGCTACTGTTATATCCAAAAATGGTCACATGAATTTTGCTTAAAAGTCTATGATTCATCTGTGGGCAGGAATAAAATGTGGAAAGCTTCCACCGAGAAGGCAAATATTACAAATATTCAGGGAGAAATGCGTGAGAGTACGGATTTTAGAACTTACTTGTGATGGCTGCTGCTTACGTGATCAGATGATGGAACAGTGTTTTAAGTGGTCAGTGGTTTTAAGTGGGTGAGTTTTTCTGGAGGGTTGGTTCTTAATGGGTATGAATTACTTTATTTCTTCTGACAAATGGCTTTTGTTTTCGAAAGTGAGCATTAAAACTTTAGATGTTGATCAAGAAAGTGATTTTCACACTGAAGATATGTATGTTATACCAAAGAAGCAAAGCAAAGCCCCGTGCAGAACTAAAAGAAGTCAGCGAGCTGTGAACATCTCTGAAGCAATTCTGAGAGCAGATGTGGCAGCTCTACTCTCTAGATACACCGCTGAATAACTTGCATTCTTCCTCCAGCTTGCGACTTGAAACATCACGGGTATTGCCATAGATTAAAAGGCATCCTGACACTAACAGCCTAGCTGTATGGCATCTAGAGGAAATCAGGTTCAAGAACCCATACTGACAATGGGTTATTTTCCAAGATTGAATGTTAACTCCTTGGTATCTCTGTGGAGCCTTGTTCTGGGAGCCTTATGAGAAGAACTTCTGAATGGTTCTTAGATGGAGATCTAGAAAATGTCTTTCATTTTCAGAATGCCGAGGGATCTGTTGCAAGTTAGATATAAAAAGTCTAATTTAAGGCAGGTTATTGCAAAGGAGGAGTTGAGTGACCTGATCTTTCAATTTCTATTAATAGGTACAAAATAACAAGCTGGCATGCTAGCCAGCTACAGTAAGCAATACTATGAAATGTTCTGGTGAGAGCATGCCAGGGGTGCTCTGTAAGCATAATATAGCATGGCAAGATGTAACTCCAGTTAAAGTGGGGAACGGTATAATGCAGAGTTAAGGTAGCTTATGTTTTTTTAATAAAATAATGATAATACATGGATTTGTTTAGGCTTCTTTTGAATTGCTCTTTTACACAGGCCTTTGCCCCAGACAGGAAAGTGAAGTAGTTATTTGTGCTTATCATGCTAAATTAGAGTGGAAGTTTGATGCAGAAATCATTATGAATAACAAGAAACTTGTGTAGACACAGTATCAATTAGTACCTCTGATAATTGATTTTCACCCCATTTGGTTAGTGTCTAGCAGAATAATACTTTAGATTCTTTCAACTCTGCGAGCACAGTAACATCTCCCTTAGATTTGTGTTAACATTACTTAGATTATTGTATTTCTGCATAGGGAGTTTGCTTTTCCTGCCAAAGGTGGTGATTGGACTAATGGCTGTGCAGAGTTTAACTTCATTATTGTGGAAACTTTTGGAAAGTAATACATGCCAGTTTCCTTCCCTTTATTACTATGTGAGGGGAAAATGGTAGGCTAACGAAGTCTGACTGTCTGAACAGAACAATAGGGATAGCCTTTGTTCGTGCTGCATGTTTAACTTCTAATCTCTCTTCTGTGAAGTTGAACTTGTGAAGGAAGTGAGGGTTATGCACAGATTTGGAGAATAAAGTGCAGAAATTTGTTCAAGCTAGGAGTAATTTAGAAAATTCAAGCTCATTCCTGAACTGCCACAAAGTGCTAAATATGTTCATTTAATGACTTAATTTGTAACACATGCAGATGTAGCTGTTCTGAAAGCTAGTAACTTCTTGAAATTTGCATTTTGATTGGTAATTCCTGTGAGAATGGAGATAAAATGAGGGAACTTCTGTTTTGTTTCCATTCTCATTTGTGCATTTGGTAAATGTGCAATTGCTGTGAATACTTTGAGTCCTTATCCAAAATTCCCTGTGCTCACAGGTACTTTTCAGTCAACAAATAGTTGCATTTCGGTAATTATGTTGCTTGAGCTTTGCTGCTTCTGCTTTCTCCAGTTTTTTTATTATCCATGCTTCGTGTTTATGCAGCCTAATGGACGGTCTTTCCTTGATGTATCTGAGGATGAAGTAATACAGCCCGTCCGTAAGGAAAATACAAAGCAGCCGTTGGATGCAGAAAAGAAGAATGAAAAGGTCAGTTACAGATTTGAAATGAAAACGTGGAAGTTTAATGCACATCGCTTCAATGTCACGTAACTCTGCTTGTGATTGGAATTCCTACTGCTTATATATGAGCAAGGGGACGTGTTTCTTACTATAAAGAGCACTAATCTAATGTGTTGGAAAGAGCTAACAGTATTTTCTTAACTTCTGAGATCATGCTTTATCATGGATCGTTTGCATCAAGCAAAACAAACCCCCATGCTGAACACTGATAACGTTGTTAGCAATTTGAAAATGTTAAACCTAGAGAAATTAAGTTTGTTTAATCATTGCTGGCTTCTGTGGAGATACAGTGTAATGATAGTATTGTTAAGTGGCACAACAATGGAGGGACTACTATTGAAAGGATTGAGACCATGTGCTTGCTTATTTCTTTTGTCAGATGTATCCACTAGTGTTTAGAGATCTTAATTTCTGGTGACAAATAGGGGCTTTGAAGTCTGGTTCGAGCTTTTTGTTATGCAAATTGAGCAGCTGTGTTAGAACATCTTTTTTCCAAGCACAGTCTGTAGCTTTACATAGAAGGTAACTGTACTAAATGTTTGGTTTTGTTTTTTTTTCCCCTTAGGACCAATCTCTTGTAGCTTTATCACAAATGCTCTCTCTTCTAGGCAACATAGGTGGATTTATGGTAGGCCTCTGACCAAAAATTTTATTTTAGTTCTTTTTGATAACGTTATATGTGAAATTTTCATTCTGGCATGGATTTCTGAAGATTCATAATAGATATCCTGGCTTGTGCTGCAGTGAAGACTGGACTGTCAGTTTTGTTCTGATCTGGTTTCCTTTGTATTCTGTCCTATTAGGATTGATAAAAAATCACTATTTAAAATATATATACACATTTTGACAAAGTAATGTAACTCAAATAATTTGATATATTTAAGTATAAATTAATAGAATTATTTTCTTCAAAAATGCATTTGCTTTGCCTATGCTGAGGAGTATTGGAAAGAGAAATTAGTATGCTCAAGCAGTCAGAAAACAGCATTTAGTTATTGTAATGAGTTTAGCTCACTCAGGCTCTAATTAAGTTGCTTGACTTACCTTTTTTTTTTTTGCAGTTAGTATGTTGGCTGAAGCACAACTGTACCTGCGAGTTAACTGTATCGTGTCAGTTGGCTGTAGAGCTCTGAAAGCTTTCATCATTGCAAACAGGCTTCTCTGTGAAATGGCTTTGCCTTAAAATTTCATGCAGCACACTTCTTTTTCTTCTCCATGAGTCACATATCAGATTGACTTTGTGGGTTTTTTTCAAGGGCAGAACAAAATGGGATCCTGAAGGAGTAACTGCATTTATATTCTTAACTTTCACTTTATCTTAAGTGGCTTTCCCAGTAGGTAAGGTGTTTAAATACTCAACTTGAGCCTTACCGTAAAATTGCCAGCATAGTAATGTGAATTTTGAAATGTTAAATTGAAGCTGCAGCTCTGTGAAGTCAGTACATAGATTCTTATGCTCCTTCCCCAGATTAGGTTTTCATAACTCTTTGAGGAAGCCTGGGAAAGAGCACATTTGCCTCAGGAATTGATTGTTGCCCTTCAGTTAAAAATAGCCCCAAGAACTTGCTGTAAGCTACATGTAATTTTACAGACATCTAATTATTTGGTTAAGCCTTGTGGGGCATCTGTTGCGTTTGTAACATCATATGCCTGCTAAGGAGAACGTTGGGGGTCCTGTGTAGGTGTTCTTTCTTTGTATGGCTTTAGGTGGGTGGTATAAGTTGATGGCTGGGATTTAAGCAGCGTGTGAACGTAGATATATGTGAATATATATATATAATCTGTGACCTGAAGGGTATGATTTTTTTTGTTACTGCTGTGCTTTAATATATGCTTTTGTTGAAAAACAGCACTTCGTTTGTTTCAGTATTTCATAGCTGTTTCAGCCTTGTGAGTTTCATGCATGTTTTTTCACAATAGATGCCACTTCTTGTTCTGCTTTGTGAGGAGGGGAAGCTTTGGATGATGGCTCAGTTGTGGTTGTTTCATACGGTTCATCATTTCGACACTAAATAGCTTCTTCCCTTTTTTCCATTTTAGTGACTTGCATGGTACAGAGTTCTTTAGTTTTTAGTGTGTGGAACTTAAAAAGAGTAGAAAAAAGTATTTTCTGATGACACTATAAGATCTTAGAACTTCATTGCCTGTTCTGTTTGCCAGTACACAAAACTGCCTTGTCTTGAATACTAGAAATAAATAGTCCACTGGGGATGAAGAAGAAAGGCTTATTTTTCTATAGTTTGTTCTTTTGGGTTGTGGGGCTGGGCTGGGAACATTCATTTTACAGACCTAAATTTCGGCCAGCCTGCCAAGTTCCTCATGTTCTCTTTGGCTGGTGGCAGACCCAACACTGGCAGCTCTCTGTGTTGCAGAAGCTGACGCTTTGAATGAGTAGGGTTGCTGCAAAATGATTGGCTCATTTGCTCAAAAACATTTAATGTCTTTAACCTTTGGCAGTCAGTTTGTAACCAAGATAATAATGACTGTTACAGCACTCAGTTTTGCAGGTGATGAGTAAGTGGTACCTAATTATAGTCCTAGCTTCAGAGATTCAGCTGTAGTGACTGAGGCTAAGAAAGCAAGTATCTTTTCAATATTTAAATTATTGACTTTCTGAAAAACAAACCTTGTTTTCAAAACGACAAAACATTGGATTTTCATGAGAAGTGTAAAATTTGTTTCTCTGTAAAATCAAGTTATTTAAGAAACTGCAGTTATAACTTAGAGAAGCAGTCATCTTAAACAGCTATCTGAAAGACTTGTGATGTCTTCTGAGGTGTTCTCTTAGTGTCAAAGGACAGATGAGCAGTCATGGCTTTGTGAACATCACTCAACTTCCAGTCTCAATGTAGCTGAAAATGAAAAATGAATCTACAATAAAATCACTGATCTCCTTTCAAATTCAGTTGAAAGAAGCAAGTCATAATAGTTTTTCATGTTGTCTGCTGTTATTTTTAATTATTTACTTGGAAGGTGCTCTGGCAGATAATCTGGGTTATTCATGTTTTTGGAACCACTTCTTTCCAGATTGCTTTTGAAACTGGCCCTACTTTTTTGGAGACTTCAGAAGCTAAATAGCCAGTACACGGGTAAATGTAGTCTGCTGAGCAAACTTGGAAGATAATTCTGTTTGTATGCGTATTACTCAGTAAGCAGTGAGTTAACTGTTCTAGTCACTTCTATAAGTGCTACAGGTATGTTGATACAGCACTATGTACAACTAGTGGTGTTTTTATTAGCTGTGGAGCTGCATCAACAAGCTGTGCTGCTTTCAGTACCAATATTGAAGCTATACGATTGTTTTGGAGCATGCAACTCAAAGACATGTACATTACATAGCATTTTGGAGCCATGAGGTATCTACTGCAGCTGTGGTGTTAACTTGGTTGTTAGCAATCCTAGAGAAATAGATATCCAAAAAGAGTATATCAAAGACTTGCAAATTGTGTGGTCTGAACTCAAGTGAAAAGCAGGCAATTAGCCTTTACCCAGTTATTAGGCTTGCTCTGAATGTCCAGAAAGATACTGGTATGCTGGGAATACTGTTAATATATTCATACAAAAAATATGAAACAGTGAAAGCTGGACCTTAATTTGAGTAAATAGCCTTCTCTCTTTAACAGCTTGTGTTTTTTTTTCATTCAGACTTATCTAGTAGTTCTTCACTAGATTGAAAAGCTTTTCAGCATTCTTTTCTTTCCAGGAAGGCAGGCAAGTCATTTTGTCAATACTTCAGCTTATCAAAAGATTAAACTCTGGGCCTTTTCTATATTATACTCTCTCCTGATTCTTGTGTCATTTTTCTTTTTCCCCCTTCAAAATCATCTTTTTAACATTGTGTATTACTACCTGTTGCACCAAAACTACTGGTGAAGGTTGTCATCTCTGTTCCTATTCATTTACTTCTGTCTGTATAGCCAAGAAGCAATGACAGTAGAAACCTTAATATAAATAAACAAACTGTATGTATATTGTATGGGCTGCAATCATAGTTGCAATTTTGAAGTCATTTTCCATGCTAGAATTCTCTTAACTATTTTAAAGATGTCACTGGCACTCTTTAGTGACTGAAGGACCTGGGGCTGTTCAGTCTGGGGAAAGGAGGCTGAGGGGAGACCTTATTGCTCCCTTTCAATATCTGAAAGGTGTTTATAGCAAGGGCAGAGCTGGTCTCTTCTCACTGGTGACAGGATGAGGGGAAATGGCCTCAAGCTGTACCAGGTTAAGTTTGGCTTGGATATCAGGAAAAACTTCTTTACAGAAAGGGTTGTTAAGCACTGGAATGGGCTCCCCAGGGAGGTGATTGAGTCACCATCCCTGGATGTGTTTAAAAGCCATTTGGATGTCATGCTCAGGAATGTGATTTAGTGGAGGGTTGTTAGAGGCAGGGTAGTATGGTTAGGTTGCAGTTGGACTTCATGATCTTTAAGGTCTTTTCCAACCTGAGCAATTCTATGATTCTTTTATTCTTCGCATAGAACTCTGTACAGATTTTGCCAGAGAAGAATCTTCCTGCCAAACAGTTCGTGTTCCTCTGTGATTAGAACTCTCTCAGCTTAGCTTCTTCCACTGGGATTTGTACTCTGTAGAATAAGTGCTTGCTCTTAACACTTGTGTACTGTGCAAGTCTTTCATGTACCTCAGCAATATTAATTTATGTTTAGGAATCAGTATTGTTTAGTACATTTTTCATTTTCAACTGTCTGTACAGGAAGTTTTAAGGAAAATCTATTCAAATTTGCCTGTGTTCTACTGATTGTTTCTTGTTTGTTTGTTTTTATTTGAAAATCTAAATTGCTGTAGTGTTCATTAAGTAATTAAAATAATGCATTTTTTTTTCTTTTCCTAGTCAAAGAAGAAAAAGAAATCAAAGGGAGATGCTAAAACAGCTCTGGATGCATCACGTCTAGATGGCAAAGAAGCTGATGAAGGTATTGAGCACAAAATATAGTAGTTAAATAAAATAGTTTATTTTAACTTCTGTGCTACTTAAGAATTACTTGTTTGTGATTCAGTAATGAGAAACTCATTTTGTCATACCTACGGAATTATGTTAAATCTGATCTTAATGGGAATCTGATCTTTGAAGCAAGTTTGTTTAATTGTTAATGAAGCAGTTGAAGTTGTTAAACTTACAGAAACTGAGAGTAGTCATGAATAATAGCTCATTTTATCCATGTTTGCTTTGTGAAGCAGATTTATTGCATTGCATCCAGAACAGCACTTACCTTTGGTCAGTCATTTGTTTTCTCAGACTAATGCTGAAGTTGACTGCCACATCTGTGATGTTTTTTTTAAACTGAACCTGTTTTTAGTCTTCAGCTTGATAGGAAACAAGGTAAAACTGTCATTTTTTTTCTCTCTAACTTTGTGATGTTTTCACTTTGGGGAACATTTTAGGAACCTGGGAAACAAAAATCAGTAACAGAGAAAAGCGTCAGCAGCGCAAGCGAGACAAGGTGATGACTGATGGTGGTTCAGGAGAATCAAATCTCCAAGGAACAGAGAACACAGCTGCTGTATCCATTGAACAACTGATGCCCCCACCATCACTTCCAGTTGGTCTCAGAAAAAATAAAGGTATGATGGTTTAGAGATTTCTAGAAAACACTTGAATGCTTAAATAGTGACTGTGTTGGAAGTGTAGGTGGTATATTTGGAGATGTAACACAAGCCATGTAAAGATTAGTTTTCAGCGTGCAAAAATATCATTTTTTGAGCCACTCGTGGGAGAGCTCTGGGGAGGACATTCTGGGGTAAATGGCAGAGGCAGGCCATACATCTCAATTCCCATATTTGTGCTTCACTGACTCTGACCTTGATGATCCTGGAAGCTTCAAACTCACCCACAGGACTGCTGCAGCCAGGACCAGCTTCTCAAATTATTGATTACTTCCTTGTGGCAAGATTATGCCTATGAGTTCTTTGCACAGATCATTTACTGCTTAACATGTAGACTTTTGTTTCAGTTTCTAGTTTATTAGTACCTGCATTGAAGTGATTCATGATGGTGGGGCATCTGGCTGAAGTTCAGTAGTCAGTTGTGGCAGTTAAGGTTTCAACAGGGAAATGTAGGCTTTTGTGGCTGCTGATGTTTCAGAAAGTTGCATGGGTTTAAGGAGTGCGTAGGCACAGGAATTCATATTTGGCTGTAGCTGAGCAGAGACTTAAAGAATGCACTTGGCTCTCTAATTTGATAAAACTTGTTCTAGCATAGTGACAAGAAGACCAAGCCTAGCTACTGTTTGGTACTTTGTAACAATACTTTGAAACTTCCATGCTTTAATGATTTGTTTTTTTTAACTGATGCTTGTTGGCACCTTGACTGAGTGGCTTGTTCTTTGAAAACTGGATCAGTTGTCTCCAGTTTTCCTTATTTTGTCCATTTATGTACAGACAGCTTCAACAAGTAATTCCAGCTGTAGGTATTTCTGGCAGTGCATGACTACTGTAATCTCTTTAGACAGAGTCCCTTGTGCATATGCTCTAAGGTATCACTGTACCAGATGAATATGAAAAGAATCAGTAATGTCTCATGTTCTCATGGAAAGGTAAAAGTTAGAAATAGCTTTATGTTTCTGAAGTACTTGAGCTGCCCTTGGTTGGAAAATTGCAGCTTCTGTTTTAGATTTCTGTTCCTTGTTCTTAAGGAAGCTATAGCCAGAATTCTTTGAAATGTGCAGTTACTCGCTGTATAGGCCCTTAATGGCCTTTAAGTGTTTAATCTGTCTATAAGAATCAAGAATATGAAAAATAGAGCATTATTTTTATTCTTGAGTTCCCTGTAAATAGCTTAATTTATTTTGAGGTACTGATAATTGTGTTTTCTTTAGATATCAATAGTGAATGCTCTCAGGATATTTGCTAGTCTTTGCAAAAACATATTCTAGCTCTGTCTCCTACCTTTTATCCAGGTGATGCTCTTCTGAATGTGCAAGTTAGCAGCTCTAAACCTTCAAAGGGGGAGTCATCAGTTCCACAAGGTAAAAGGTTTTGTTGCTAGGCATCCTAATTAACTGGAAATGTGTTTTAAGGAAGTGAAAACAAACTGTCACTGCAGGATGTTGCATGGTTACTAATTTAGGACTCTATTATACAGCTGGCTTTTTTGGCTATGCAGGTGTTATATTTCTAAGTTGCAGGTGGTGCTTAACATGTGGAAATTGATCATATATCTATTGGGGTGTAGAAAACAAAAAGTGCCTAGAAATTTCATGCAAATTATCTGCTACACATGTTGTTACTTACAGAACAGTAAAACTTATTCTCAAGGTCTGTTTAAAAGTCCCTCATGTTTTTCAAACTTTTTCCTGTTAATGAGTTCCTGACTTAAAGAATTAATGTGTTAACTTATTTCAAAGATAAGTCCTGATTTTCATAGTTTGCACTCATTGCAGGTTATGCATGCTTGGGTTATTCAGCTCTTTCCATTCTCCTTTGAGAACCAGCATTCATTTTAAGAATGACTTTATTTGTCATATGTGTAATTTTGCTATGGTAGCCTATGATTTGACTGGTGAATCTCAGTGGCTTTTTGATAAGAGACGTTGACATGGTAGTGATTAAATTTTGGCACTGTGAACAAAGGTGATTGTTTTTCATAGCCAACACTCATAGTATTTCTTTAACCAAGAGCATTGCTTGTGTTTAAGGCAAGTCAACAGATGAGGCATTGAAAGCACCCAGGTCCAGAAAGTACGCCACTGCTAGTTCTTGAGAGCTTTGATTTACATGCTAACTTCATGGACTGTAGCTCGGAAAGGAGGAGCCACATTCTACAGAGCTTCAAAGAAGCATAATTGTAGGATAGGAGGCAGTGATTTAAGTTGCAGTAAGGAGTATTCTGACTGGGCATGAGAAGGAAAGCTCTTAGTAAGTTTGCCCAGAGGTGGTTTGAACTCTAAGCCTTAATGATTTCCAGAACTTGAGTAAAGCGATAAAACTTTGAAACGAATTGTACATCAGTTAGCAGAAGGTGGAATCAAGTGACTTCCAGAGATCCATTCCAACCTTAAGTTTTCTGTAATTTCTGTGGAAAGTTGCTGGTTGTACAAAAAGTGTATGTAAGTGAGGTGAGAACAGTTTGATAAACAGAATAATCAAACTTTTACTTGAGAACTTCAGTTGTTTTCTTGCAGGGCTGCAAAACAGTTGCTTTACCAGCTACCCTACAGTTTCGGTGTGTTTGTTATTTCTGTTGTCTTCCTGTGAGAATGTTTATTGACGGAGTGTAACAGCTCTGGAGTTGGGTAGAGAAAGAACAGTACTTCTAGATACAGGGATTGGGATGTTACAGATCTCTGTGTTTGGAGATAGGGTTTGTCTAGGAACACGTAGTCACAACTCAGCAAATAATTTCCTTGCCAGGGGTGCTGCCTTGAAAGTCTTTTTGCTGCCTGAGTGAAATTTATTTATGAAATAAAATATTTTGTCTGTAGTTTTTGTAAGCATGTTATGCTGACATAGCTGAGTATTTATGTTACATTCTTGATATACAAATATCATGCAGATTGGCAATTTTCTTGTTTTATGATGCATATTTCTTAAAAAAAAAAAAAAAGAAACTGATAGGGCCCTTTGAGAAAGGTTTGTCATGTTTAGGAAGTGAGTCCTCTGAAAGTATGTATGAAACTTGCCTTGACTAGTAATTCCTTGGTACAGTAGACTGTAGGCCAAGGCTTGTGATCTCTTACCTTAGTGAGAGCTTACCATGTTCTTTTCCCTCTGAGTTGATGGACTCTAGTTAATGATAGCTATGCTTCTAGTAGTTTCCACATAGCATTCAGAAAGCGCTTTCTATTCCTTGGTCATTTCTTTCATTTGTGCTTAGAGGACTGTTGTATGTTACCATAGTTACGAAACAGAAATTACTCTCTGTTCAGTGCGTGAGACTCTACAAACCATCAGATCACCATGTAAGAGAAATTATCCCTTTTGTTGTTGAATTAAAAGAAAAAAAAGTTCTGTTTTAATTATTCATCCAGTTTGTATTTTAAATGCTATTTTTATTATGCTTTTAAGTTTCCCCAGGATTAAATGAAAGCCATACAGTAAATGGTGGAAGCTGGAATGAGAAGCCTGTAAAAATCTCCTCACAGATTGGTGTAGGAGAGGAAAAATGGACTCCTGTTTCCTCAGCTACAGCTGGGAAGAGGAAGACTGAGACATCTGCCTGGGCCCAGGAAACTGCAGATGCTAATGGAAATGGAAAGGACTGGGGCGTAACCCTGGTGAGCAGGCCCTGGAAGGAGCGTTCTTTGTTCACTCCTATTGGTAAGCTGTTCTGAGAAAAATTTGCATCGCTTAAATGTTCTTTTTTGTAATGAATTTCTTGAATAGCTTTATGCTGCTATATTAGAATGATAATTGAATGGTGTAGTGAAATGTGAGCTAAGCATTTTCTGTTTCTTGGAAGTTCTGATGGTTTATCATGATTACAGCTTGACTGGACGTTATCTGAAATGAAATTATTTACTTGTAGGAACTGATTTTTTTATTTTTCTAGAATTCTGAAATTGCATAGTTAAGTCATAGTGGAATGTAACTTTTTAACTTATTTCTTAGAACATTAATGTGGTCTGTTGACATAACACAATCAAACCAGCTAGACTTAGCTTGAAGAAGAGAAGGCTCCAGGGAGACCTCATTGTGGCTTTCCAGTACTTGAAGGGAGCATATAAACAGGAGGGGGTACAACTGTTTACAAGGGTGGATAGCGATAGGACAAGGGGGAATGGTTTTAAACTGAGGCAGGGGAGATTTAGGTTAGATATTAGGAGGAAGTTTTTCACACAGAGGGTGGTGACACACTGGAACAGGTTGCCCAAGGAGGTTGTGGATGCCCCATCCCTGGAGGCATTCAAGGCCAGGCTGGATGTGGCTCTGGGCAGCCTGGTCTGCACATAGCAGGGGGGTTGAAACTAGATGATCATTGTGGTCCTTTTCAACCCAGGCCATTGTATGGTTCTGTGTCTTTGGCAGACATTTGTTTAGGTTTCAGGAATAAAGAGTGTTTAGATCTTGTCACAGATTCTTAGTGTTTCACTGATTTTATTTTTTTCCTTTTTTTCTCATTAGAAATTTATTTTTCAATCTTTTGTAGTACAATTTTTAGCCTTTGTTGCTTACGCTGTTCTGTATAATAAGATTTTTTCATTTGTCTGTGGAACAGCCTTTTTATTTAGTAGATACTGTAATACTGTTTTTCCCACTGTTCAGATCCTAGTCACTTCTGCAAGACATTGTTCTTTTATAGTCAGAAACACTGCTATAAGTCTAGGCAGACTTCATTTGTCCCACATATCTTGAAGTGTGGCATCTGAATCTGGACTATTAGAAGGATTTCTGTTGGAAGCTCTATTGTTGCCAAGCTGAAGCAAAGGTGTGCTTTGGTTTCTGTGTTATTTCTTCATATTCCAGAAAGCTGTATTCTGCTTGCATCATAGAATGGCTTGGGTTGGAAGGGACCTCCAGGATCATCTAATTCTAAACCTGCTGCCAATCATTTAATCAGGCACTAGATCAGGTTGCCCAGGGCCCCATCCAATCTGACCTTGAACGCCTTTAGAGATGTGGCATCCACAGCTTTCCTGGGCAGCCTGTTCTAGCACCTCACCATCCTCTGAGTGGAAGATTTCCCAGAAATCTGGTCTGAATTTCTGTTCTTTTAGTTTTTAACTGTTCCCCCCTGTCCTATCAGGTGGTACTTTGTATTCTAATTCAGCGTTACTTATTGACTGAACATCCTGTTCTTGTTTTGTTATGTAGAACAGATCATGTTTGACCAGGCTGATCTGCTTCTGGTAAAATGACAGGATTTGTAGATGAAGGGAGAGAGGTGGATATCCTTTTCCCATAACTTCAGTAATACTTTCAGTATTGTCTCTCACAGCATATTCTGTATCCAGTTTAAGGGGCTCAGCTATGGATGGTTGAAAAACTGATTAGGTTCAGAGATCATACTTTACCTGGAGGCTGACAGTGGGATGTCCCAGGGCTTTATCATCTCTGTAATGGAGACGACGATGAAGTGCAACTTGCATCACATTTCCAGATTACAGAAAACCTTGAGGAACTAGCTGATGCCATCCAGAGGGACCTAAACCAAACTAGAACAAGGACAAATATAATGTGATGTTCTGCACCTGGAAAGGAAGAACCCTGAGCTGGGGAATGACAGTCTGGGAAGCAGCTTCATTGGAAAGAACGGAACTGGTGGACACAAAGATGGAAATGAGCCAGCTGGCCATGGGCCCTGGCAGCAGTGGACACCAGCAGTGTTCAGGGCTGTATTAATAGGAGTCAGTCAGTTGACTGCGGTAGTAATTATTCCCTTCTACTAAGCACTTCTTGGACCTAATCTGGAATACTGTACCCAGTGTGGGGGCTCCCCTTTGAGGAAAGGATATTGATCTACTGGAATGAATGCAGCAAACTCAGAAATGGTCAGTTGTTGAAGCACTTGCCCTGTGAGGAGAAGGTAAAGGAATGAGGTTCATCTTGCCTGGGAAAAGGAAGGCTTCAGGAGGACCTAACAGGAGCCTTCTGGAACCTGTGAGATGTTTCTGAGAAGATAGAGCCTACCGTACAGTGGTGTATGGTAGAAAGAGGAGTCAGTAGATTTGGACTGAATGTAAGCAGAAACTTTTTCACCACAAGGCATTGTATGTAGGTTGCTCCAAAAATAATGCCTTCTTTTTATTTCCATGGAAACTACAACAGGTACAAAGGATATAACAACTCTGGTAGAGCAAATTCCCAGCCACAAGATACTATTTTTCACCATAGACACTACCATTAGCTAATTCATGCGGATGAGCTGAATGTAGCTTGTCTTTCATATCGCTTTTGCCACAGCTGAAATGTACATTCATGAAGCATCCATAAATGTCAGTGGGTACAATTTTTTTGGCATGGAGAATTTCAGTGACACACCTTTGTTTCATATGTGCTACCATGTCAAATGATGTTTTGTCAGACTGCCTCTCTGCTGCCACCTGTCACACGGCAACAAATGTAAGGGAATATTGGTGGGAGTTCATCCTCTACTGCCATACCACCAACATCTGCCTCTGACATCGTGGAGCAACATAATAAATAGGAAAAAATACTGTCAGGCAGCCCATGCACGGCCTTTTTGAGTCACCAGTCTTCATCCTTAGAAGTTTTTAACACCCAACTGGATAGAATGCTGTGTATCCTGGTCTGACCTCAGAGCTGAATGTGTGTTGAGGAGGAGGGTGCACTAGGAACCTTCTGAGATCCTTTCCGTCCTGATTGATTCTGTTTTGTAGCTTGTTAAACTCCTGGTAGCTTTTATTTGTAATTGGGGTCTTACCATCTGTTTCTTTTGACACAATTGTGCCACTGCTTATTTTATCTTGTTTTCTGCTTTATGCTTCAGAGTCAATCAAATACGTCTTGATTTTTAATCAGCGTCTCCTATTTGTCAGAAATACGACATAAGCAACTTTCTGTAAGCTAGATGTAATCTACAGAGCTAACATAAGATTTTTAATTGCTCAGGTGATTATAGTGGGGAAAATTACAGCAGTATGGGTCTCAAAACACAATCAACTTTTTCTCTCAAAAGCTTATAGAAAAAAAACTTGTTACATATAGAAAAGTCTGTAGAGAGAGGAAGATAGTTTGAAAATTACTTGTCTGAATTTTCACACATTCATGTCTCTTAACAGCACTGATTGTATCATTAATAATCAAAATAATTCAGTTTTGTAGAATGTTAACATGACTAGAACTTCCTCTGTTTTTCTCACTCTGTTTATCATTAGATAGCTAACTTCTTCAACGTTGCCAGCAGTGTGAAGTTTGTTGTGTTTTTTTTTGTTTTTTTCCTCCTGTACTTCCCCACAGATGCTTGGAAGGTAGATGCAAGGATTAATACCTCTGAACAGAATTCTACTTCTTTCTCTTCTTTTGGATTAACTCCTGCAGTTTCTGGTATGTATATGCTTCCAAAGACCCTCCTCTCTGCTTCCCTACCAGATGGAAATAGAATTTGCCAAATATTATTAATTTTGTATCTTTTTTTTCCAATGGTCTTTTGAAAAAGTAGTGGTAAATGTAAACAAGTAGAAGACCTGCTTTGTGAAAGTCTGGAAAGCTTTTTGTCTTATTATGCTCAAATAATGCAATAAGGTAACTTTAAAATTGATAATCAAATGCTTGGTCTTGCTACATCTCAAGATGAAGACTTTGAAAATTGCTTTCTAGGAAGCTCTGTTGATCCAGAATTTTGAGGGATTTTACTGTTCATTGATTGTTGGTTCGTTCATTTGTTTTCCTTCATGAGACTGAAGTGCTACTTGAAAAATGTGTTCCATAAAATTCCCGAGTCCTTGCTCTTCAGGATGGATGAGAAAGCTGAACTGCAGAGTTTTCTTGTTTTAAAGGGTGAAATGGCTGCAGAGTGCAAACCTGGCTTCCTAACAAATCGTGTGTGTTGCACTACTGACATAAGTGCTTCAGTGATTTATTACGCAATAAAGGAATTGTATTTCAGGTTTTCTGTTCTTGCTTTCTCCAATTACCTTGGAGCTTGGCATGGCTATTTTCTTTTAGAAAGTAGCTAGCCGAGTGCTCATGTGCTTTGACTTTTACTTGTATTGCAGTTTGCATCTTTAAACTGTAAAACTAACGCTGGTTGTCCTATAGCTTACAAGTGCTTCATTCTCTGCACTTCTGTGCCAGTTTAATAAGGAAGTTGTAAATACCAAGGTCTTATTCACCATACTTTCCAAAGAGCAGTTCCCTGAATGAAAGCTTGTACAGTTAAGAACTTTTGCTTAAGACAAAGCATTTTAATAAAATTTAATTTTTCAAGGGCACCACTTGAATTTAAGTTCAATTGCTACTCTGAAACTTAAGGAAATTCAGTTACTGAAGTGGGGAAGACTGATCTGTAATCCATCTGCAATAGCATCATTTCAGCTTTAATTCAGAGAGAAGCATAAGTGAAGTATATTCATCATCTTTGTACATTAGCCAACAGTGTCATAATTCCATACTAATGAATATTTACTTATTTCTGTTGTGACCAACTGGCAAAAGATGAGAATGTGGCAAGATTCTTGTCATTTGAGGTATCTTTTGCAGAAGAGTTTATAAATTAGAGTGAACCAGGTAGGATCATATTTAGCTAAACTTCTTCATTTCAAAAATAAGTCTCATCATAAAATAAGTTCTTGTAGTCTCACAATTGAACTTTCATTTTTTTCTGAACTGTTTCTGCTTGCCCTGTTTTTCTAAAACAACGATGTTAAATGTCTAACGCTTACTATCAGAGCTGATATTGGCCTCGCTGTTTGTCATGTTGCCTTTATACTTCTGGAAACTTTTACTTGAACTGAAAAATTGATCCTTAGTAGTGAATAATTTAATTGCTTTATCTATGGTGCAAATGACCAAGTTTTTCTAGTTTTTTATTTTAGGCTATTCTTTATGAATGTTCAAAGTTGCACAAGGTGATTGAAATTCTGTGGGTTGTAAAGTTATTGCTTTCCATTTTGAGGAGACTAACAGCATTCTGTAAGATTTGCAGCATTCATAGAATCCTTAGAGTTGGAAGGAACCTTTTAAAGGTCATCTAGTCCAACTCCCCAGCAATGAACAGGGACACCACAGTTAGATCAGGTTGGCCAGGGCCTGATCAGCCTGTCCTTGAAAGTCTCCAGGACAGGGCATTCGCTACATCTCTGGGCAACCTGTTCCTGTATCTCATCACCCTTAATGTAAGAGAACTTCCTTATATGCAATCTAGATCTCTCCACTATTTTGGTTTAAACCATTTCCCCTTGTTCTGTTTCCACAGACCCTGCTAAAGAGTCTGTCCTCTTCTTTCCTATTGTTCCCCTTTAGATACAGAAAAGCTGCGATTAGGTCATCTTGCAGCTTTCTTTTCTCCAGGCTGAAGAATCCCAGCTCTCTCAACATGTCCTTATAGGAGATGTGTTCTGTTCCATGGATAATTTTTGTGGTGCTTCTCTAGACACGCTCCAGCAGGTCTATGTCTCTCCTATACTGAGGAGTCCACATCTGGATGCAGTACTCCAGGTGAGGCCTCACCAACACAGAGTAGAGGGGCAGGATCACCTCCCTCACTCTGCAGGCCACACTTCTTTTGATACAGCCCAGGATATGGTTGGCTTTCTGGGCTCTGAGGGCATATTGGTGCCTCGTATCCAGCTTCCCATCCACCATTACCCCGAGGTCTTTTTTGGCAGTGCTGCACTCAGTCCTTTCATCCCCCCGTTTGTATTGGTAACAGAATTTACCTTGACCCAGATGCAAGGCCTTGTTTGAATTTGTTGAACCTCATGAGGTTCACCTGGGCCCGCTGCTCAAGCCTGTCTAGGTCCCTCTGGATGGCTTCCCATCCTTCTGGTGTATTGACCTCACCCTAGAGCTTAGTGTCATCTTCAAACTTGTTGAGGGTGCACTTGATCCCACTGTTGATGTCATTGATGAAGATATTAAAGAGTTTTGGGCCCAGCATCAACCCCTGAGGGACACCACATGTCACTGATCTTCATCCAGATGTGGAGTGCAGACCTCCACTGTCTGCACTCAATCCTGCAGCTAGTTCTTCATCCATCAAACAGTCCACCCATCAAATCCATATCTTTCCAATCAGGTGAGAAGGATGTTGTGGGATACCATGTCAAAGGCCTTACTGAAGTCCAGATAGATGACACTAGTGGCTCTTCCCTTGTCCATTGATGCAATGACACCGTCATACAAGGCCACTAGGTTGGTCAAGCAGATTATGGTCTTGATGAAGCTATGCTGGTTCTCCCATGTCACTTCCCTGTCTTCCATGTATCTTAGCATTGCTTCCAGGAGGATCTGCGCCATGGTCTTTCCTAGCACAGAGATGAGACTGAGAGATTAGTAGTTCCTGGAATCATCATTTTTACCCTTCTTAGAAATAGGTGTGATGTTGCCTTTCTTCCAGTCAAGAGGGATTTATTCACCTGATTGCCACGACTTTTCAAATATCATAGAAAGTGGTTTTGCAACTACATCAACCACTTCTCTCAGGACTGTGGGATTCATCTCATCGGGACCCATAGGCTTGTGAATGTTCAGGTTCCCCAGGTGGTCTCAAACCTGATCTTGGCTTACAGTGGGAGGGATGTTGTTTTCCCCAGTCCTCTCCTACCAAACCAAATATTTGAGGGCTGTGTAACAAGCAGTTATCAGTGAATAGCGAGGCAAAAAAGCTGTTTTAAAAAAAAAAAAAAGTTCATCTGTATTACCTCTTTTTTTTTCCCCCCCATAGTCTATTGACTTAACTTTGCTTTTTCCAGTTCCCTAGTTTTCTGGAAATATTTAATTTTGAAGAGCTTATAGTGTTCCTGTAGTGCAGAGTTGTTAGAATTAGACTGTTTGTTTGTTTGTTTTCCAGTCTTCTGTCTTCCTTTGTTACTTTGCTTTGAATTTCTTTATCTAAAATAATTCAGGAAGTTGCAACTTATAATTTCATTTATTCCTTTTCAGGATCCAACAATGAATCGGTTTCTCAGGCTGGTACTTCTGATTTTCCATGGGATTTAAGTCACGCTCAGCCCCCTGTTGATGATGAATGGTCTGGGTTAAGTATGTTCCTCTAAAATGTTCATTAACAAAAATTGTAATTGCCACAGCTCTACAGCATATGTACTACTAGCATTCATAGCTACTTGCATTAGCCATTTGCAAACATGCATTAGAGTAATCGAGTTTGCCTTCATGTGTTTGTATCTTACTGAAAACACAGTGATTTCTACTTGGACGTTGAAAGCATAGGCTTGATGCTTATTCTTCCCTTTCCTTGCTAATTGCAGAATAGATTTGCTTTTCCCAGCCTCTCTAGACAAGGGTCGTATTAGAGATAGTAGGAGTAATGTAGTGAAGTTAGTCTTACATAAATACCTACTACTGAAACCACACCCATGAGGAAAGTTTTGTGGTGTTTGTTTCTTGAATTGCCTTGTAATTGATATTTTTATTCAGTAAAATATAAAAATGGTTGTTTAAGAAAAACAATGGCTAATGACCTCACTGACTTAAAAACTTGGTCAATGGACTGACCAAAACTGCCTTGCATATTACCTTCTCTCAGAAAGCAGTGCCTTGTTTAATGACTTCAGAAGTAAAATGAATTGTTGCAGTCTTTTATTCCAATTTTGCCAGATACCAAATCATATAAAAACTTGTTTTCTATCTGGTTCAAGGATGAGGGAAGCACATTTCAATTAATCATTGGAAGTGATCAGTTTTACATCACAGGAGTATAATTTATTCACATTTCTGGGCATAGTATATTTATGGCTATATGTTCTTCTAATCAAGTAGTTTATTCATAGATACCAAGTAATTGAACCTTAATTATTTCCCCATTCCTATTAGTGCACTCCAGCTCTAAGTTATATGCAGATATACCTTGCTGGTTTATCAGGTTCAGTACAAGGAAGTTAGCTGCATGTGCAGAAACTGAATTTTTTATATTAAGAGATCGTTTTTTTCTTTATTGTCCCACCATTAGTTTCTTAGACAAAGCTTATTAAGAGTTACATTGCATAGTAATTTCTTTCAAATCATTTTTTTAGTGTTAGTGCTTCAAAGTATGAAGTTGAGGTAATATTTTTACACAAAAGCAGGAGACGGGGGGGAAAAAATCCTAAGTAATCTTAAAATCCTACTGTACTTTTCATAGAATATAGAATGGCCTGGGTTGAAAAGGACCACAATGATCATCTAGTTTCAACCCCCTGCTATGTGCAGGGTCACCAACACCAGACCAGGCTGCCCAGAGCCACATCCAGCCTGGCCTTGAATGCCTCCAGGGATGGGGTATCAGCCTCCTTGGGCAGCCTGTTCCAGTGTGTCACCACTCTTTGTGTGAAAAACTTTTTCCTAATATCTAACCTAAACTTCTCCTGTCTCAGTTCCCCTTGTCCTATCACTATCCACCCTTGTAAACAGGACTTCCTGAAGAGGACTATTCTGAAACTTTTGGTTATTTGTTACTAAATGTAATTGGTTTAATTATTACTTTTTCTTTTGATGTAAGTTTTTATATGTTTAAATTGAATTTTGCTGTAGCTGGCAGACTGTTTCTGTTTGTATCTTCATATTTGGCATAGACTGAGGGCAAGAAACATTTTTGCTGATAGTCTTTCGTTTTGTGTTTATATCATGTTTAACAAGCTGTTCAGTTTTGAAAGAAACTTGCTATAGCTTTCTACCAAACACAGGCTTAGTTCTTCCCTTCTAGGGTTTCTAATTTGCATACAAATGAACTTGTCATTTCTCTGTCATAATGCACCATCATAAAATGACAATACTAGCAAAATGGAGTAGGGACTTAATACCTTATTTCTTCTAAGATTTTAAGAAATGTCTATGTTACAAGAAGACATTTGCTCAGTAAGACATTTTTAAATAAGTTTCTTTTAAAAAAATTTCTAAACATCAGTGTTATTCACAGTTCATCCCAATTTCTTCACGAACTAGAAAAAATTGAGATAAAGAACTTCTCTTAAATTTGTCCTTCTTTACATTCTCCATGAGTATTCTGAAGCAATTGCATCTAGATAACTGCTGCTATGTCTAGTTTGTAATCCTATTGCTCTGTAAAACACTCAGAACTGACTCACTACATGCCAAAGTCTATGTCTTATTATTAAAACACTAAAATTTTTCAGAAATTCAGGGAAATGCCTCTTTATATCTTGGTATCAGGGAGAGTTCTCTGCGTAGTATTTTTTTAATTATTTTTAAAGTCTCAAAGAGCACCTGTAAAGAATGAAAACGTTCCTGAGAATCTTCTTAATCTTTGTAGATGGACTTTCTTCTGCTGACCCTAGCTCTGATTGGAATGCACCAGCAGAAGAGTGGGGAAACTGGGTAGATGAAGAAAAAGTTGCATCTGTTCCACAGCCTGAAGAGGCATTATCTGATGTTCAGAAGGTAAAAGGTGATATTTTCTCCTTAGCACCAAGACTTTGCCCTTACCACTGCTATTTCTTAACGTAACTTAAAGGTGGTGATAAAGGTAATCTCTCATCTCCTTTACACTGATAAGAGCATCATAATTTTGTTAATATGTGAAGATGAATGTTGCTAATGGGTAAAACAGATACCAATTAGCTCCACGTCAAATCTTGCTGTCTCACCATAATGTAAGGTATTACCTTTCATTGTGTACTAATCAAGGATTTGGATCTCTCCCCATAAATACTTCACACACAAAAATAAAATGTTGAGAAAAGCAGCATTTCTGTGCCACCGGTCCATTGTTCTCTGCTGCATTTTTTATTCCCAGCTCCTGTACTTCTGCTTTCAGAAATTGTATAAAGAATGTGGTCTTCCCAAAATGAACAGATAAGATTGTGCTCACTTATTTCCACTTTTATAGGCAGTTATAGACCTTGTAGCTAGTAATTTATACATAGCATATAAAAAGCATGTTAAATATCTTATTTCCATATTGAAGGCTTTAGATAATGAAAGAGAAAAAGCAGAGCCAGTTCTTCAGAGTTCTACAAGTGGGAAGTCCAAGAAAAAGAAGAAGAAAAAGAAGAAGCAGGGTGAAGAAGCTAACTCTCCTTCACAGGTAAATGGAATAAGATCAGTTTGTGAGGAATTCACAAAATCAGAGAAAGATAAAATTGATTTATTTATTGTGTAGTCTACTCCTCTTTTGTAAGTTGAGAGGTAAATGCGTGAGAGATTAATCTGTCAGTATTTCCTTTAATTTGATTGATTCTATGAATTGACTGGTAAATACATTGTAGTTCTGCTGGATTTATGGAAAACTTGAAACACATAGAACCTCAAATTGTTGGTAAATCAGAGTTCTGTACTGTAGAGATGCTTCTAGCAGGCATTCTGCATGGAAGCACTCCCTTCCTGCCTTTTGAGAGACAACTGCCCTCCTGTGCATGGCTAGCTATGGGAACAAGGGAAATTTAAGTTCTCTTTTAGGTGTTCTTGATGTGTTGAAGTGCAGTTCCTCTAGAATATAGTGTTCCAGAAATAGTGTTGTAATTTACATGAAATGTTAAAGGTAATGACACTTAACTGCACAAGTGCAGGTATGCTGTGGAAACCAGATTGGAATTAGATGGCTACTATTTGCAAACTGATGATGACTAGAGCTTTGTGTTATTTTTAAGTAGTTTTGGGGGAATTACTTTGAAACACAATTATTGTCTAAATAGCAAAAGCAGATTGCACTTGGCAATTGAAGCGTGTTTGAATAGCTGAAAACAAGTACTTTTCAAGTAGGAGAAATCTTTTGTCAGATCATGCTGAGAATACGTCCTGCTTTTCTGCCTGTGGTAGCAGCCATTCATAACTTAGCTTTTTCACAAAAAAACAAAATTCTCAGTTGAATCTGGCTGGGTAGGTAAATTGAAGGGGGGAAGGCATTATTTCAGTCATACTTACTTTGGACTTCTTTCTTGTGATTGTCATGTTTTTAGTCTGAGGTTGTCTTAACACAACTGTAAAAGATAATTCCTACCAAGAATTCTAGTTAAATACCAAATATTAAAAGGCTTTCATTTCCCCTTCCCCTCCCACTTGGTAGGACACTGAAGAACTGGATAGAGAAGCTAGAGAGGAATTTCAAGAGGATACCTCAAAAGCTAAACCACAGCAGGAAATAGCTTTTTCTCTGAAGACCATAAGTACTAGTGAACCAGCTAAGGTAGGAATATGAAATTGTATGATTTCTGATTTTTGAAACGTTTAAGATGTATCACACATTAATTTGTGTATGGTGGTGTTACTGTAAGAATACTGCTTTGAATTACATCTATTAATATGAAGGTAATTGAAAGGTTGAAATTTATTAGGTACAGGTCGGTAACGAGTTCCTGAAAAAGGCACCCACTCTGAAAAACAACGTTTGCTAAAAACAATAATTTTTTTCTCAACTTTCAAAGTTGGATTCTTTTCATTAGTTTGAATAAATGGTTAAAACTTTGAAATCTGGAAACCTGGGAATGAATAGGTAAGAGTACAAGACTATAATCTTAGCATATTTTATGGCTTCTTTGCAAAAAGAATGAAGAGTTGCCAACTTACTGTATTCTGAACTGACGTGAAACCAGTTCTCAAATAGACCGTTTGCTTCAGCTTGCAGTTTAAACATATACACAGAATACAAGTTCTTTAACCTTTATCCAACATCAGCTCAGTTTCAGCAGACTACTTTGTTACTTAGTAGTTAAAACTAGTCCCAACTTAATGGTTAAACAGCATCAGCTCTGTTGTAAGCCAGGTCTGTGTACCTGCTGTTTTTAGACTTAAGCAACCCTGATGATGACCTGTCAGTTGTCTTCAAGCTCCTTTGACATCAGATTTGGCTTTCCTGCTGTTTAGCTTGTGTTAAGTGGTTTTCTGATATTGTTTGACTTCTCTGAACAAAAAGTTTTAGAAGTAGTCTCTAACTGATGACTGAAATGGATGACCTAAGTTTCTGACAAAGATGATCCATTCTTGAGCAAAAGTTCTTTAAGCTGAGAAGCAAATGCGAGGAAAAGGAATATGAGAACCATATCCAAGGGAAATAACACCAGTATTAGAGTACAGAAAGCAGTTACTCAGAATATCCTAATGAAGACCAGAAACAGGAAGACATTGAGTACTTTTTTCTTTATTTTTTTGATCTGGTAATATTTTTCCATGTAATACATTCCTTTATTACACATTAGGCTGCACGTGCTAAGGAAAACCTCTGGTGTATATTTTCAGAAGGTACAACTCTTAAAGAATCGTCAGATCATAGAATCCTTAGAGTTGAAAGGGACCTTTGAAGGCCATCTAGTCCAATTCCCTGCAATGAACAGGGACACCAGGGCTAGATCAGGTTGCCCAGGGCCTGATCCAGCCTCACTTGGTTTTTTGTTGTGTGGTTGTTTGTTTGTTTTTAAGAGGAATTAGTTTGTGTGGCCTTGCTTGTATGCAACTAAAAGTTTTGGCACTAGATGGCAGTCAGTGTTGCAGCCTTGATTTGAATTTTAAGGGTTTTTATTACTGGTTTAGTTTCTCAGTGCCATCTTCCCAGCAGCTAATAACTAGTAGTATAAGAATGTATAAGGGTACCTTACTGATGTATGACGTGGTAAACTTTTGGGAAAATGTTTTCTTTTTTTCCAATAGCCTGAGGAGGCTCCTTCTCTTGCTGTTTCTACTGAGCCATCTGTAATTGTATCAGAGAGTGATTCTGTCAAGATTGCTTCCCAAGTGCCACAGATGCTGCAAGAGACAGATGTTTCTAGTCCCAGTATTAAGCAAAACAGTGTGCCTCCTCCCCAGAGTAAGTATGTCAGTACAATCCCTTGGGCTGGATTTAGGGTGTGGCTTTTTGTTTTTTTTTTTTTTTCCATAGAATGTGTGTAGTCATGCTTTGCCATGAGGTTTGGGTGTAGAGTAGCACATCAGATAGATATCTATACATGAAATATATGTCTTGTGATATTATAGCATTCGTTTAAGTAGTTTGGCAAATGTCCTTTCACCATGAAGAAAAACAAGCTTCAAGTATGCTTGAATGACTGAAAACATTTGTTGGCCTTGTCTGATCCTTGACAGACATTTGGCTCTACTGCTCACAATCAGGACCAGAGTTCTATGCTGTGACTAAGTGGCTAATATGTCAGTTATCTGCTTTTTGCTCTGGTTTTGAAGTAGGAGGGCTTTTGTGACTAATTCCAGCCTTGGCGGTTCAGGAAAATATCTTCTGTTCTACAGATAAAATATTTCACCTGTCTTACTACTTCTGGCAGCCAGCGTGTGCTGAGGCCATCCATGTTGATAAAATTATACTGCTGCTTCATTTAATTCTGGATACCTGTAACCACAGCTTAATGTAGTTCGTTATTTTAAAAACTGATCTTTTGACTTGTAACTGTTATGGGATCATCATAGAATGGCCTGGGTTGGAAGGGGCCTTCAAAACCCGTGTAATTTCAACCCCTCTGCCTTGGGCAGAGCTGCCACCAACTTGGTCGGGCTGCCAACCAACCCCATCCTGCCTGGCCTTGAATACATCCAAGGAAGAGAGTCACTTAGTGGTTAAAATCTGATGTAAGTGAACAATTAATGTTGTACACGCATACATTATTATTTTTGCTAACTAGAAATAATAGTGGCTTGTTGTGTCCTATCTTATAGAAGGTTTTACATTACAGAAAATCATTCATTTTATTACTTGTGGTGTAAAAATAATAATAAAAATAGGTTGGAGTTAGCAGACTTTGTTTTACAGACTCTTTGAATTAGCCTATTCAGTACAACAGAAAATAGTAGTCTCCTTCAAAAATCATGTTTGTTGAAGAATAGCTCTATCTTATGTAGACTTTACTATTCTGAAAGTCTATCTAAATTTTCTCAGTTGTGACTCTATAGTTATGTTTTATTTTCTAGCAAAGTCTGAAGAAAGCTGGGAATCCCCCAAGCAAGTTAAAAAGAAGAAAAAAGCAAGGAGGGAAACGTGAACTTCCTGAGATGGACATGCGTTGCTGAATACTGTCATGAAGATTATGCTGTTTATGCAATAATTTGTGAACATGTACAGAATTTTATAAGTTTCAAACAATTTTTAAAAACAGAACTGCTGTGAACACAAACATCTTCAAAAAGGAATCAAACGAAAGTAACTTTATAATATAGGAAACAGAACATGCTACATTTGAAAGACATTCTGAAGAGTCTGTTTTTCCAACTTTTGGAGAGAGATCTTAATTAAAAAAAAAAACTGGTTTTACAACACAGTGCCCTGTTTACAACAGATTATATTCTCATCTACTGCTGCGGATAAAAGGTTAATTTCAAGGGAGGGTTTTCTGTAAAAATATTTGTCTGTACAATAGTGGGTGTTTCTTGCCTCTCTTGTGGGTGATGCAGTAGAAGCACAGAATGTCAACCATTTGAATTTGTTTCATGCCTAAATCAAAGTGCTTTGATTTAATATGTAATCTGCCATATCCTTACAGTAAGTTGGTTAGCGAGTCTGCTAGCTAGTACAGGAATCTCAAGTGCAAATCATAACCATTTGTACGAGTCAGACCTTCACGGTTTGTATATGAAGTTAACACAATAAAACTACTTTGGGTTAAAAGTTTGAGAATGTGATTTAAAACATAAGTATGGTCCATGAAGTTATTTTTGATAATGCCTATTACCTTACTTGAATTGTTGAAGATAACAATATATATTTTAAGAATGCAGTCATGTGCATAAAAATTGGTTTCTCTGCTTCATTCGCTGTAGTTCTTGGTTGATTCAAATTCCCATCCAAAATTGTAACACTTTTAACTCTTAAAATCACACAAGAATTGAAATCAAATGTTCTCTTCCCTTAGGACTTTATTCATTTACCATTTACCCAACTCTGTTTTGTTCTCTGTTGCTAAAGCTCAAAATAAGGTGAACTTCTTTCACTCAACAGATTATGTGGGATTTCAGTGATCTGTTGGAAAACTGGAGTGGCTTCAGACAGCTTTAATTGACATTGTCAAGACCAGTTATCAGGAACACTTTTTTTTTTTTACTGCCTTAACCTGTAGTGTGTAGAGTATGTCTAGACTTCTGAACAGGAGTTTGTGTTTTTATAAAAAATAAAAGAAAAACATTAACTCAAGTATAGCAGTTACAAAAATAAAGAACATTTCCTGCTTGAAACTGTTAATTGAAATGGTGTTTAAGATGTGTTGTCATTTTCAGGCACTGTGTAACTACATGGTATCAAACTGACAGATGTGTTTGTGTCTGTAAGGTGCATGCTAAGTCATGTACACTGTAAATAGCCTTTACAACAAACTGTTGGATGCGGATGGTGATTAGCATCCCCTGGTGACTTTCAGTAAAAGAGCCAGGATGTTTCTAAATTATTGACTTCTGGTTTTGTACCATGAGCAGAATTGCTAACAGCTGCAACTCATGGTACTGGTCAACAAACTTTCATTGTCTTACTGTACTGAACTGCAGTTCAGCACTACTGCAAGACACGATTAGTTAATGATGCAAGCTGGTTTTACTTGTACTGAAAATGCACCTTGCTAATGGACAACTTTGCTAATAAATGAATACTAATTTGCACAGGAATTGATGCCTGTGTATCAGGAATGTGTGACCTCTAAACTGACTTGTCAAAATAAATTCAGTGTATTAACAGTACTCATTAATTTGCTGGGAGGGAATAATGCCTGATGCTGATACCTGTCAGGCAGGACTCACGTAAGCTAAATTGAGAGCTGAAGTACAGTTTTCAAGGAGTATCTGAAAGCAGACACACAAATTGGATATTACAAAATCATGCAGAGTTGTATGCATGTAAATAACATTTTAATTTTACGTTTTCTTGGCAATAGAGCACCCTTTGAATTCAGGTTTGTAATGTATTTTCAAAACGTTTCTTCCCAAACTGTATGTTGTGCAATGGGCTGCTCTCAGAGATAACACAAAGAGAGAGGCTGTCCCAAGGAAGAGTCACTGCGTAAATCTTGGTTTTTGTCTCTTCAGGGTACAGTTGGTGGTATTCTTGGCTTAATACACTCTAGCTCTTGAAAAGCTTGTCTGGAAAAAAGAAACTAGCAAACAAGGTAGGAACTGTGTTGATAAACTGCTGCTCCCAAACAGGATCGTATAAATACGTAGCCTTCCTTTCAAAATGTTGTTACCTATTTAGCAGCACCTCTTACTGTTTTCTTAATGTGCAGTTTCAATGTCTTAGAAAGCAAACCTTGCTTTGACATTCATTGAAGAGGTAGTAACAGTATAGCATATTGTCTATGAATAGAAACTTGGTTATCTATGTATTGTCACGTTCCTATGACTCAAGCAATGGTTACACTGAATCCAGACTTTGGTACTGGCATAGAAAAACACCATTTAAAGAAACGAGTCTTTTTTTTTTTTTTCTTGTTGAATGCATGGAATGGTTTCATAAATCTGATATGTTGGGTTTTTTTAAGTACTCCAGAATTATTTGTATGCGTAATTTAAACTTGTTGTGATGATGTGTAATTGGATAGTCATGGCATATTTTTCTTTTGTGGGGAGGGGAAGATGTACAGAATTCATATGTGCTTGTTACGGAGGTAACAACCTGTGCATTGATTTGGAGGGGGATGAAAACTGTATTTCTGATGCCCTTTTAGAAGTCTAAAGAAAAAGTGCAAGAGAAAAGCACTACTTTGATATTTACTAAGAATGTACATATTAAAAACATTTCAAACTTTATAGAAATACTTCTAGTACTGTTGTGTTGTAACTGAGTTGTATCTCCTTGGAATCTGCCTAATTCGTGGTTCCTTGCCGTGGGATTGTCCTGTGAAGGGAGGCTTGAGATAACAGCTGTGGGATGATACCAGAGCACGTAATTTAAGCATACTTTCATATGTTATTAATCTGTTAACGAGAAGGCTGGGTATACATCCAAAGAGATGCACAGGCTTTGCTTCTGCTTTCAGAAGTCTCTGAAGGCAGTATGAAGGTACAGGTAACCTTGCATTTTCACCCAACCACATATGCAGAAGTTATACTTGACATATCTCTGTGGTTGGTTGCCTACAATGGCTGCAGAAGGTGTTTTTGCAAGGAGATGCCATTGCTGGAAGTTCAAATCTGCCCCAAATCCAGTCCTGATGTCAGCAAGGTGTAATCATATGTGCAATCAATTTGATGGCCCCTTCTGGCCGACGATATACAAATCCTAAAACTGAACCAGCATCTTTCTGAGGGTGAAAAAGATGATCCCAAAATTCCTACTGGGGTTTATGAAGAGCTGCAGGCTGCATTCTGGATCAACTGCAAGTGTTAAGTCATCCAGATATAAAACTGCCCTATTTCAAGCTGGAATTCTTTTCCAGCTTTATTTAGTTTGTTGCCTGCTATGGAACAGTGATCTTCAATGTCCTTATTGCATCTTTATGCTCTAAGTATCTCCGTAAACTTTGTTGCCTTAAAAACTGAGAAACACTCAGAAGGTTTCAGCCCATGTAGTTCACAATCCTTTCCTCCCAGCCCTCGCCTTTATCGCATGATCTGCAGACAACAAATCCTGAAGGGATCCCAGCTGTGCTTGTACTGCTGCCAATCACTGTCACTGTGTGCTTGTCTAGGAAAGGAAGGGCTGCTTGAGATAGTTAACACCCCATACATCATCATAATCTATGCCTTGTCAGCTGAGGTATATCAGAGATCCAATACACGCAGAAATCTGTTTTCTTTATTCTTGGTCCACGCTATTAGTTCCTTCTCACGAGACCAGGTGTGAATGGCAAGGTGATCTCACTGGACTGACTATAAGCTTGAAGTATCCCAACATCAAAATCTTATTGGTAAAAATGATTTTTTGCAGCCATAATGTTTTCCTTCCAATTCTTCATCCAATCTTAGGGAGGAGGAGATGCTCTTAAAAGAAATCCTTGGAGCTCTCATCCAGCAGAGGTGGCAAATGGTGACTGTTCTTCACACAGGAGCTCTTCTGTAAGGTGGCCCAGTGATGCATTGTCCAGTGTGCCCACTGAGCTGGACGTTGTGCCCAAAGGGAGGAACGCTGGCACATGAAGGTTTCCCACACTAAGCCTATAAAGTTCCATTTGAATGAAGAGGGCTTTCCTTGACAAAATAATTGTAATAATCAATACTTAAACTTCTGTATTGTTTGAACCTAACAGAACAGAAAACTGATATGACGTTCCATGACCGCTACCTGACTTTCTGTGTGTGTGTGTTTCACTTGTTTGCTTGCAGAATACACAAAGCACCTCCTATAGCTGTATTTTCTTGGCAGTCAAGTCCTGTGCGTGCTTCTCAAGGTTATTCTTTCCAGAGCTTTGGCTGTGAGTTCGGGGATTCCATCTTCTCCTTTAAAAGACTGTATTTTTTTACACTGCAAGGCAGCATTAAGTGTCCTCCTTGCAACCACCAGCAGAGCTCAGATGCTCCTGAATTCCAGAAGAATGTAATTCATCAGTATTTCTCCATTCTGGTGGATAGCGGTTGGCAGCAGTACAAGCACAGCTGGGATCCCTTCGGGATTTGTTGTCTGCAGATCAAGCGATAAAGGCGAGGGCTGGGGGGAAAGGATTGTGAACTACGTGGGCTGAAACCTTCTGAGTGTTTCTCAGTTTTTAAGGCAACACTACAAACACTACACGTCCGTTAAAACAAAGGCCGCAATCCTGGCCCAGTGGAGGTTTGCCAGGGACATCTGAAGAAGGGTAGCTGCCTCAGGTGCCCGCTTCGAGTCAGCTATTGCAAGAGACAGTGTTATGCTACCAATGGTGTTTCATTTGACTGTTAAACTGTTTTGCTCTGATTTTGCCTTAGTGATGCTGGTGTTTAGCCTGGCTGGAAAATTAGAGCATCTCAAGATCTTTGAAAAATTTTCAGATATTTTCTCCTATGATGAAAGTTTGAGCAAACTGGGCTTGTTTAGCTTGGAGAAGAGAAGGCTCTGAGGGGACCTCGTTGTGGCCTTCCAGTACTTGAAGAGAGCGTATAAACAGGAGGGGGTATGTCTGTCTGTGAGGGTGGATAGTGATAGGACAAGGAGGAATGGTTTTAAGCTGAGACAGGAAAGGTTTAGGTTAGATATTAGGATGAAGTTTTCACACAGAGGGTGGTGACGCACTGGAACAGGTTGCCCAAGGAGGCTGTGGATGCCCCATCCCTGGAGGCATTCAAGGCCAGGCTGGATGTGGCTCTGGGCAGCCTGGTCTGGTGGTTGGTGACCTTGCACATAGCAGGGGGTTGAAACTCAATGATCACTGTGGTCCTTTTCAACCCAGGCCGTTCTGTGATTCTAGAGATTGCTGCCATTCATGTATATAAGGGTAATATGTAAGCAGTGATGTTGGGCAGTTGTGCCACTCTGGTAAGTGAGCTGGAAAAGTCAGTAATAGCAGGCTGTCAGCCAGCATTGGCAGTGTGTCCCCATGCTGCTGCCTGTACAGGGATATTTTGGAAGCAGACTGAATGGCAATGATCTCTACACTGATGCTGGAGTCTAAGGTCCATCTCTCATCACAACCTTTGTCTTCTGTACTATGAAAGGGAAAAGGCTAAGGATCTCAGACCTTGGATCCAGCTGAACTCTCTGTATGAATAAGA